GCTACGTGTACGGAAAAAGACATTCGCGTCCACGCCGCCTGCGCGGGGGCGTGCGCGCGGCACTTAATATTCACCCCTATATTTAGCGACCTCCATACCCGGTAAAAATAAAAATATATATAAATATATATATTTACACACATCCGGGTGCAAATGCGCATTACAGTCGGTCTCCTCGAAACGCCCACACGCCTATCGGCGACACCAAGAACTCATCATAAACAAACCCCAACGATACGTCGTAAGGAATTACGAACACTTGAAAGTTTGGCAACATCAATGCATGCAACTGAGGTTATAATAAAGCGCGGAAGCGGATTTCATCTCGAGACATCGGATGCTATATCCTCTGTTCACCCCCCCTCCCCCTCCCTCCCTTCGCTAAACTGACAGTGCGATGGAAGTTAGTCACTAGCTGGACCAATCAAACGCCTCCAAGTTCATCACCTGACAGCGTTCTCTCCGAGTGGGCGGTAGCGTGATCACGTGGTGAAAGACGGACTGGTTCAATGGGTCCGTAGCCTCCACCGCACTGTCACGTAAATGGCGATCGGTCGAGATGAACACGCCGCCTGAAAAAAACTATTTTGAGACCGTCGATGTATGCTTCGCTGTGCCGTCAGAGTGCAGGTAATTGCAACAGTCGGTGGAAATGGTTGTTGTATTTATAGGAAGCGACGTTCGTCCGTTTGTGTGATGCGCTGCAAAGGCGTTGAAGTTCTATCCCGCGCCCCGGACGATCATCGTCCATCAACGATCTCGGAGAAAGCTTGGGCCGACTTCCTCGTTCGTACGACAAAAATGGCGTCTTCAGTTCGTATAGCTTCGCATATCAAGAGAAGACTTGCTGAGATTAGTTTTCATTTCAGCGAGTCAAGGGCCTATAAACAGTCTATTGCACTATTAGTTTTAGTTTTCGCACACGTTAAGTGGCCAAGGAGGAAATTAGACTTTTCGACAAAAATACCCGTACATTCGATTATATCGAATAAAAAAAAAAAAAAAATATATATATATATATATATATATATATATATATATATATATATATGTAAAGGATACTCAATAGAAATTGTCGGCATTTAAGCATATCGCGAACAAAAAATTTGGAAACTGAAGCGTAACGTTACAGCGAAGAATGCATAAGAAATTGCCAGCTTAGGGCGACAATTAAAGGGTCTGCCAGGTTAGAGAAACGTTACTTTAGCCAATGTGCTCTCTCTTTTCTTGATCAAAAAGGCGCAAACGTTTTGGCGTTTTTTTTTTTTTTTTCGTCGAGGAAAGAAGCAGCTATTCAAGTCGTTATAAATGATGAGGTACGTTGTATCATGTTCTAACCAAGTTTCAGAAGAATTTAACGAGTATTTTTCGATAATGTTTACAGCATGCGACTCAACAGAAACTAGCCTTCGCGAATCTCGTATGGGGGAGGTCTGACGGAAAGCGGAATATTTAATTTAATTTTTAATATTAGTTTGAAAAAAACAACAACAGAAAAACAGCTTCTCGGCCAGACGATATTCCCAATGAATTTCCCAAAAGATATGCGGAGTGGGTATCTCGATATCTTGTCATCATATTCCAGGCTTCACTTGGACAGTTTAAAACTACGGGCAGACTGGTTACGCGGTAAAATTGTTTCCATCCACAAACCTGAGAACAAAATAAATGTTCAAAATTACCGTCCCATATCTCTAACACCCAGATGTTGCAAACTTTCGAAACACGTCATTTCTAAACATACCAATCAATACTTGGAAGAAATTAACTTATTATACAAGCATCAGCATGGTTTCAGGAGAGGTTTATCGACAGCCACACAATCAATCGACTGTACTCATGAGTTTGCATCTGTTGAGCATGAGCAGGGTAAAATTGACGTCGTGTTTATATACTTTTCAAAGGTGTTTGATCGCGTGCCACATAACAAATTGATTTTAAAATTTCGTCACGTGGGGCTGGATGAAAATATCTACATCTTGTGAACCCTAAAATGGGAAACGATAAAAAAAAAAAAAAAAAAAAAAAAACACGGACAATTGACGTCGTGTTTATGTACTTTTCAAAGGTGTTTGATCGCGTGCCAGATAACAAACTGATCTTAAAATTTCATCACGTGGGGCTGGATGAAAATATCTCGCGGTTCAGTTCTTACTGAAGTCGCACAGTACGTTTTTTTGTTTTTTGTTTTTTTTGTAATGATGGATGTTGGTTCTTTTTAAGGGGTATTCACACGAGGGAGGAATCCCGGGGATTTCTCCCCGACACGCGCGCATCACGAGATGCTTAAAGGCCGACGACCAGACACGAGATTCTGCAAGGCAGAAGATCCTCCTCACCCTGGGGGAGGAGGAAACAGGCAACGGTGGACAGGGTAGAAGGGGGGGGGAGAGGAGGAAGCGGAAGAAAAGTGGAAAGCGCGAACTGGTCGCCGCCGGTTTCCACATGTAGCGGAGCGCTGATAAAACGCTGTTCACGTGTCGTCAGTTACTCATCGCCTCCAATGAGCAACAGTTTTGACGGTGAGATACGGTGAACGCTGCCGTCAGCACACGCTTAGCGCAAAGTCAGCGCTTTGCTTTTAGCGCTCCGATGTGTGTGCGAACAGGCCTTCACTATATGTCAATGACCTAGCAAACGATATGCCTCCCGCTGTTCGGGTAAAACTATTGGCAGAAGATTGCAACCGAGATTCGGCTCAATGCTGCTCTGGAGAAACTCCGCTTGTGGTGTGGTAGATGGGATATATGATAACCAATTTTGATAAGACAGCATTTTGTAGCATTATACTAAAAAGAAAGATATCTGAGATTATCAGTATAGAATTGGTAGCGCACAATTCATGAAGGTAAAAGAGTTTAAGTACTTGTTTTGTAATACGATAAGTTGGAATAATCATTTGAACTACGCTTGCACGTGCAAGGGCTTACAAAAAGGTATTGTTTCCATAGAAGGCATATAAGGCATGCTAAAAGTGACGTTCGTTTAACTGCTTCCAAGTCTTATGTGCGTCCAGTATTAGAAATATGCATGTGCTACATGGGATCTATATAAGGAATATCAACTTTCTCAAATTGAAAGAATAGAAAATTTGGCTCTTCGATTTATCATTTTTAAATACAAGCGCGTGGAGTCTGTTTCTGCAATGATACGCGAGGAAGAGCTGGACTCGCCGACAACACAAAAACAAATATCCGGATTTTTTAATATATTATTATTACTAACCGTTTGACAAATATAGAACATCAATCGTACTTGCGTCCTTCAACTTCACGTCTCAGAGGATGTGTAGCGTTAAGGCAATTGCGCCTTATTGTTAAAAACAAAATTACGCATTTAAAAGTTTCTTTTTTTCTTTTTGCAGAACAATAGAAGACTGGAACACTCTTGCCGAATGAAGTCGTCGGCTGCACCGTTATGAAGTCGCCTGGGTGAAGACTATGCGATTGTTTGCCTGCTTAATGATTTTGTGCAGGGTGACCACTCTGCCTGTACAAATCTGACGGCCCGTACGAGTGCGTGAATGTAGTATCGTTTTGTATTTGTATAAATTATTTTTTCCTATACTGCGCTGATCAAAAAGTTCGCAGTATTGTAAATAAATAAATAACTAAATACGTTTATGTCGCGTTTGCCGATCCGTTCAAGTGTATCATATGCCTCGTTCAATGACAATTATCTGCATTTTTTATGTTTTTTTTTAATAGTACATAAAATTATATTGCTCGGTTATGCTCTCACTTAACGTTAGTGATCGTAACCGTCTAATTTCTTGAAATGTTTCAAAATTACGCAAAATTGAGAAAAAACACTCCAGGTTGAGGTCTTCCAACAGAAAAGAAAAGGCGCCATATTTCCTGTTTGTCGGGTCAACAGCCAAGCACTAAAAGTTAAAACGCTGTGGTCATTTTCCAAAGTATTGGGATGCGAATATCACCCTTGAAAACCAGTGTCAGTAGACTGTATTTTATGGAACTTTTAACGAAAACATCCCTTAGGCTAACTGAACAGAATTAAGTAATTTCTCGAGACAACAGAACTCGCTCGACCACGAGGAAGCTGGTAAAGTTTCATGTAGAAAACATTTCCTGCAACCCATGATTTATTTTAGTCGAAGTCAAACGGTATTTAACAAGTAAAGAGTTGAAAACATCCAACATGGCATAAGAGCAAAGGGTTGAAGGCACGTTAGAGACAATTTTAACGAATTCAGGTGCAACAGACGAGCAGAACTTGGATCCCGATCGGCGAGTCAACACTGGCAGAGAATTTTTAACGACTGCCGGTAATGTTCATTAGCGCAGCGGTGTCTAGATGCGAAAGTTTTCTTCCAATAGCTACTTTCCAAGGGCACCTCACAAGATATTTTTATCTTCCATGTATGCGTGCTGCAACTGCTTTACCGTTTTTCGCTACTTCGCCCAACGAATGAACGATTAGTGTGGATGATCAAGAGTCGACAATGTCAGGAATTTTAGACAGTTTCGGCAAGCTTTGGCAAAAGGTCGAAAGCTACAGCCCTCAGGAGCCAGCCAGAGCGACTTATCACGGCACGTGACATCTCTCCAGCTGCCAGAGTGACGGGCGAAGCGTTGTCAGGCGCCGCGCTCACTTGGGCCGCAGCCTTCGTCGTTTGCCAAGTACATGCGTGGGTCGGCGGGGGTAATGAATGGTATACATCCTTGAAGAAACCTTGAGAAAAGAGAAGCCATCTAAAATAACCGGGGAATCTGATTGTTACCATAGGTCCACACACAAAACATACTGGTTCTGAAGTTACCCCCGTGACCAGACTCCAGAGGTGCTGCACACAAATTTTTCAGAAATGCATGAGGTGACCTCGTCGTTGAAATGCTGCGTACGCTTCGGGGGTTCCCCGCTTCCCCCATGTCCCCTTGCCGCCTTTCTTTGGACGCGCGAGGATGTGGCGGCGCATAGCGGCGCGCTTTGCAACTAAGTATTCTTGTTCGGTGTTTGGGCCGTGGAAGTAGAGCCGCGATCTAGCAGTAATTTAACGAGTAATGAAAGTTTTGAGATCAAAGCAAAGAAAACAAGATATTAAAATATATAATTTTAGCCAAACAACATATTCAATATGTACGCTCGTTTTACCATATAAACGGTTGACTTGCTACGAAACTGGTGGCATAAAAGATGTAAACAAGGAAAACACAAACGACGGGACGCTTCGAGCAAGTTGGAATGAAACTTCCTAAAATCCTCGACGGGTAAGTCCAAATTTAATTGCAATTCCACTTTATCGAGCGCGGTAGCTATCGTGGCGACCACGCGATTATCGACTACGGTGCCAGGACAACGCTCGTCGCCGGACAGCTTGTCTTGATCCCGAGGGCTGACATCGCCGCGAATTTGGGACGCGTTCTTCTCCCGCATTGCCAACTTCGGAGTCCATCCCTAAAACTCAAACACGCTAAAATCCCGAAATTATCGAGTCTACTCCGCGTCTGTCGACAAGATAGTGCCCAGAATCGACCTAAACGCCAATTCTAACCCCGATTTCGAGCAGTTTTATTGTCTTGCGCCTCGTCGCGTTGAGTCACAGCGCGCCAGAGACGGAACCTGCTAGGCCACGGCCGACGCGCGATAATAGGGATTTTCCGTTGGGCCAGCGACTCGGATAGACTTTCCCGGGTCCGGCACCACTTGTGCGGGTCGGAATTTGTGGGTTTTCGAAGCGGTCGAACCATTTTCGAGGGCCGACGACCCCGGTTTTAATGTTTTTCAAACTTGACCTAGATCGGGGCGGCTCGAGCGTCGCTGTCCCCTTCCCGACACAGACGTGGACGCTCTATTGTTACTTGCTCGGTGGCCTCGGCGCTCCCGCCCGCCCTCTCCTGGCCTCCCAGGGACGCAAAGTTGACTCCGCGTTCTTTTGTTCTTTTTTTGTTTTATTTGTTTCGCGCAGATTGAGCTGAAATGATCGCCGGCTCGTATCCGTTGGCGTGAGGAACCCACGAGGCTCGGATTTTGGTAAGTTGGGATCCCGTGACTGCAGTGTGGGGGAAGTTGCCTGACACGCCCCATGATCCCGGATTTGTTTACCAAACGGCCGTTAGATGCCGAGCGCGCGTTGGCGCATTGTCGTTTGCGGCTTTCGCGGGATGCAAAAATAAGCCTGTAACTAACTGTATACCCTCTTTTTTATTTTTTTTTTATTTCACTGCGATTATGACGATAAAATGCAGAACTATTAAAGGGGTCTTGCAACAATACTGGGTTGGGTTGTTTCTCACTTAACACAAGGTTACTGGCACCAGTGTAACCCAAGTATACCCATAGAACAAGAAACATTTATGTCGTGGTGTATTTAAACGCTAAAAGTGGACTTGTTCTTTCAGCCTCCTCTTTGCCAAAATTGATAATGTGGTTATGGGGATGGCAGTGTTGATGCAAACATGCGGATTAAACCATGTTGACGATATTCAAATGTGGCTCATGGATTGGACATGAGCACTGCGTGAGCACTCGATTTTGGGCTCGTGACAATCGATGCCTCGACAAGCATTTGGGTAGTGGCTCGCATCAAATTGCTGCAGTGATGAAAAGAGCCGGACCATAACAATGTCTAGCACCCTGTGCTTTGCCAACCTCAGCACGTGGCTATAGTGAACACCGGCGGGATATATTTTGTACCAGATCATGTAGCCGCTTGTTAAGGCAGCGAGTTGAAGGGGTGAGCACTGCTAATTTTTAAAAATCTTTTCTGCCACTGCCATTGTGTGTAGAAAAAAATTAATAGCCCCTTCTCCTAACAAATAGCAAGCGCTTGGCATGTGCTCGCCAAGTGGGTTTTTGGGCCCTTTGTGAGATGCGAACAATCTCCTTGTGCAGCTGGTAGGTCTAGAGCCGGTGGAGTGCTGGCCAAGTGGCTCCGACCGATCTGTGGGAAAGGGGCAGAGTGCATATTTGCTCCATACTCCGTTCACCCATAAAGGGGAACTTTGCCGATTTTTGAGCTACTTACTCCAAAAGCATCATCTGAATGCGGATGGCTTCCCAATTCCGAAATGCTATCTCGTTCCTCCAGAATCATTCTTGTCAATTAAAAAAGTGATATTTCCTTCGCTGTCAAAAACCAATATATTGTTCTCCCCAGTTTTTCCCTAGTTTTCCCCGTCATCCAAACATGACGTCACCGGCAGGCAGCGAGGTGCGCTGCTGGGAATTGGGTATGCTTGTGCCCGCCTTTCTTGCGTAAAACAGCTAGAAAAGAGGGTATTCGTGCTATAAAAATTTATAGTTGCACAAAGTATGACCTTGGCCTACATGCTGAACTGTGAGAGATAAAAACGGAAGCAGCTGGGATTTGAGAAAATCGTTTTTGCAACTTGGTGCGCTCAAGTCACGGCTCGCTAGTTTTGTGAAATTGCTAGCAAATCTGTTATCATTTTATCAGAAGCTGGCAGTCACGCTGGTGATGAAAGACTGAATATTCCCGCAATACATTCTTTGACAATTTATCCTAGCACCACGGAGAATGCTCGGAATGCGGGTTCAGATGCCTCACACGCTCGTGTTGCCTGAAGAAATGTGCCATTTGTTTTAGATTTTCTTTAGAAAAGTTACTGTTGCAGGTGCCAGCACGTCTAACTACTCTTGTAACATTCATATGCTTCTTGGTGATTGATTAATTCAGCAAAATATCTATAGACCATTCCAGAAAAGGGCTTCTGGTCAATGCCATTTTTCAGCGTTTGTGCGTGTGGCGTGTGCTTTGTTGCCTTTTAAAGAGGCGAACATGCACATGCTGGGCTCTGAACTAACACGTCTGGACTATGATTCTCGTAAACAATGAAATGTATGGAATGGGATGAACCACATTCGTGTTGTCCAGATGGCTGGTTAGTGTTCACGAAGATCTTGCTAAAATGACACTTTAAAGAACTCCGCAATTACCGAGCCAAACATTAAGGTGCAATGAAAGGTGTATAGAATACACGAATATGCTATTCATCTTCGAATTCAGAATACGTGTTCGAAGATACAATAGTGCGTAAAGTACAGAAATGCACCATTTCATTTTTCACTCAAAATAAGTTAACAAAAGTTACTCAAAGAAAAATTTGTGCCGATACTTTTTTTGTTGCTACTGTCGGAGTAGTATGCAACATGCCCAAACACTCGGGTATGTGGAAAAAAAAAGATAAATTTAAGACTTTCTTTTTAAGAATTAAGTTTAAGTTTTACACAGTTTCCATCAGCTCTACATTTGCATGCCTCCCCTCAATGACATTAATATTTCATGGTTTTAAAAAGATTTTCAGCTCTTTAAAACATTTCTCCTTTCTCCGCAATAGAATAAAACAAAGATGTTCTCACCACCTCTTCTGCGAGAGAACATAGCACGCCAGCCACTTGATAAACCAGGGAACGGCCCTTTCATATATTAATGGAGCTCAACACCTGTTCCGTAAACCTCTGTAATACCAGACACGAATAGCAATGTTTCAAAAGTCATGTAAAAACCCAGTCTTGAACTTAGTTTAGACATTTCCCTTCTCGTCTTCAACACATCGGCTGCGTGAGTGGAACTCCAAGAGTAGCCGAAGCTAGATTCAATGTCCAAAACAAATATAATGTTTATGAAAAAAAAAAAAAAAAAATCACGAGGCAATTGTAAACAACAAATGTGACTGCGCCAAATGTCGACTATAGTGCTAGAATGTGCACTATTTTTCTCAGTATTATTAGCACTCCTCTTTGGACGGATGTCGTAGTCGTCCCTGCCGGCCTGAGTCTGTGCTTGCCGCTCTTAAAGCTGTTCCAGCTGCAGAAGGATACTCAACTCGCAGCTTGCGGCTATAAAGTATTCCGATCATACCATAGAATACCGTGCATCCGCCCATACCTCACTAAGTGCCCATTCCCGAATTTGTAAGATCTGAGAAAATAGGCTCAGTACATTGATATGTAAAATTGATGACTGGACAAGCGCCCATCCCCTATTTTTTCGCGATTATCTCTAAATTTTGAGTGGGCACTTGCCCGGTATTTTACGGTAAGTCAGAATGTTCCACGTGCCACTAGTTCTCTCGGCACACGGCTTGCGCAAAAGCACCTTGACGTGGCTGGCCTCTATTGCTGCCGGGGAGCGCATTCTTTTTCTATCGCTAGAACAAGGGTAAGAAAGAAGCTTTTCTTGGCACTGTTCTTACAATCTATCTCAGAGCACAGAGCACAGATTGCTACCCGTTGCAAAGGAACTTTTAACCCTGAAGCTGTAAAAAATAACCTCAATTGCTGGCACCCAGAAAGCCACCTCGCGACTGCTCGGGCCGCTCGTCTGCCTGCCCACCGGTGACATACGCGCGTAGGGAAAAGTAGGGATTTTTCATTGTTGCCAGTAGAGAGTCGCCTCCTGGAACCCTCACGGCCGGTGTAACGTAAAAATTCAACAACTCCATAAAAATTTTATTTTTATAAAATATTTTAGCTATCCGTTGAGAATGGGTTATTGACGCGGTCTGCCAACTTCCAGCCAAATTGAAGACTATAAAAAAATCGGCGGAGTTCCCCTTTAAGCTGAGACTATGGTGGGAGCTACGTGCCCGCCGGACCAATCAGCCGCCTCCCTTTTATCACCTCTCCCGGCTTTCTATGCAGGGTTATGGGCGGGAGCGTGATGATATGTCGAAATGCTTATGATTGGTCCAACAAGGACGTAGCTTGTACCGCAGTCTCGCCTTGGGGGTGAACAGGGTATAGCGATGTTGTGGCAGCCATGAAAGCAAGCACTTGACGATAGAAAGGTATAGAATATTGGAGGGATGCGGTACTGCTATAAGTCTCGTTATGAGTTGTTGGATGGTCGGCAAAGCAGTAGCATAGCCTGGAATTTTTTACGGGGAGGGGGGAGAGGGCTGAGGTGGCTAAAATGTCCATGACTTGGGGTGTGGAGGCAGTCAAAATGCATCTGCTTGTATAGGGTTGGCTGGATTTTGGGATTGGAGGGTGCTGAACAAGCTCTCCCCCCCTGGTTACGTCACTGCGTTGAAGTGACGCGACGCAGTGCCAAAGTGTCAACTTTCCCACCAAACAGTTGTCGTTGCAATCAAGATGCGTAAAAGGTTACTCTTATTTGGAGGGTATGCTTATTATTATGTGGGAGGGGGTACGTTGATCATTTGCTTTAAAAGCTAAGGCATTAAATATTAGCCACACTCGTCCAGCACGACTGCTTTCGTGCTGCATGGGGGCTGGTGAGGCATCGTAGGGCGGTAGTGGTGGAGAGAACAGCCGCATCAGTGCCATAGTAGCAGTGATGGCGGCCACGCAGTGGCAATGCCTGCGACCAGAGCAGCTCTGTCTGCTGCATTGTGTGCCTCCAAGAGCCGTTCCTCGGCCGCTTTACCACTGAGACCGGATGCTCAGAGTCCCAAATCTGAGGCCCTTGCTATTTGCAAGGGGAAGGGGCTGTAACGCTTGCCTTGTAGGCTATAAACATAGAGGATTAATGAAAATCAATATTTACCGAGGATACAAGAGAGTGTTACACTATCGCTTTAAGTTATTGTACGGAGAAGCGTGGACCACTATACTCTTCGGCTTTATTTAAATGTATTTATTCCGCAGAGCTCCCTCCCTCCTTGCTCATTGCAGGTGTGAACTGTATACTTTGCGTGCAGCTGAAAGTGTTTTGAAGGTTGTTAGCATGTGTTCCTTGTTTGTTCACGCAGGCCTATTATAGCATGTTTCACACTACTGAATGTGAACATAAAATGATAAAATATTATAGAGATTGAATCTTGTGGGAAGAAGTCTTGCACAGCACCTGCATAAAAAAAAGCGTCTTAAAGGAGTCATGAAACGCTTTTTTAACTTTTTCCTGTTTAGCTTTTCTCCTCAACTCATAAATCGCGCATTCTACCCTACAGTTTAAGAAGACGGAAAGGAGGGAGTCCCCTCTTGCTCTGACTCTCCTTTATGTACCCGGACACAGCCATTATCCCCCTAGAAGATTAGCCCGTTGCTCAAAATTCAGACAAAAGTTGCTTCCCCACCTTGTTCACCCCGAAGCTGACAGTGCTGTAGATGCTACGTGCTCGTTGGGCCAGCCGCACTTTTGCCACGTGATCACGCTCTCTCGCGCATACCCACGCACAGAGAGTGAGGTCAGGTGATGAAAGGGAGGCGGCTGATTGGTCCGGCGAGCACGTAGTTTCCACCACAATGTCAGCTTAGGGGTGAAGGGAATAAGTGAGACCCGGTGCCGTGTGACGTGCGTTTGGACCCGGTGACGCGCTGCGGGGGCCCGGTGACGCGCCTTGGGGTCCGCGGATGTATCACAGTGAAAAGGCAGAGAGCTTACGAAGGGAAGGAGGCACGAAATAGTCCGCTGTGTTTTGAAATTTTCGTACCGAAAGTCAGGCTTTTGACTTTCTACCTTTTTGCTTTTGGCCCACTGAACGATGTGCTATTAGTGAAATCCCAATATAAATTGATTTGTTCCGGCCCAAAATTCAATTCATGGGCCCTTTAAGAAAGATAGGACGCGTTCAGTCTTTTGTCACTGTGCGTGGCAGTGAACTTGTGCTCCCATTATGCTTCTAGTGTACGGAACTAAAACCTCATTGAAAACGATTTGCAGGTAGGAAACGAGACGTCACAACAAGCCGACATGGAGATTGAAACCGACACGACACAGTCGCTGGGCGACATGCAAGTCAGCGTCGTCTCGGACATGACTGTCTGCAACACGACCAGCAACACGCAGGCCAGCGGGGCTGAAGAACGCGACTCCCGCTCGTACGAGTGCGACGTCTGCTTCATGCGATTCACACAGTTTGCCAACATGCGGCGCCACAAGCTGAGCCACTCGGGGATCCGCCCCTTTGAGTGCCGCCTCTGCCTCCGCCGCTTCTTCCGCAAGGACCACCTGGTGGAGCACACAGTCCGTAAGCACTCGAAGCAGCGGCCCCTGCGCTGCCCCTTCTGCGCCAAGACGTTCCCGTCGGTGCCCATGCTCAAGAACCACTTGTCCAACGCCCACTCGTCGGGGTACAGCCCGCGCAGCAACATCTGCAACATCTGCGGCTTTGTGGCCACCTCAGCGGGCGGTGCCAAGATCCACTACATGACATACCACGTGCGGCGTGCCCTGCGGTCGTCGTCGCCGACGGGCAACGCGCCGGTCGGGCTTGCCTCGCTGCTCAACGCACCGTACCAGTCGACGGGCAACGACATGTGCGCCATCGTTCCGACGTCCATGCCAGATATCTACCGGAACGAGTCGTCGGAGGACGGCGGCACTGTCGAGGTCCACCGCATTGACGGGGAGCTCCAGGAGATCTCGCCGCGCATCACGAGCGTCACATCCCAGGCCGAGAAAACATGCGGAGACGACGGGGTGGTGGTGATCAAGTCGGAGGTGCCCGACGACGACCACGGTGAGACGCCCGACAACACTGATGACAATAACAACAACGACAATGGCAGCAGCCAGCGGAGGGGAGAGGACGGCGGCGAGTCCCCGCGGGACCGCGGGTCTTCCGCCGAGGACCACGGCTACATCACGGGCGACACGGGCAACTGGACGCTCCCGTCTTCCTCGTCGTCCCAGGATCCGTGCTCGATGGCCGCGGGCTCGCAGTGGGGCTCCGGCGGCGTGCACGGGCACCACGACCTTGGCATCGTCGTCTCGCCGCCGCCACCGGCTGGTGGGTTTGGATCGGCCGCAAGCGGCGATAAGACGGACGAGAAGCAGATGCGGAGCACGCCGGAGACCTCGACCGCGGACGGGGATAGCGGCGTGGACGTGCGCTACCCCAGCCCGCTGGCCTGTCACTACTGTGACGTCGTGTTCTACGACAGGACCCTCTACCTGCTGCACAAGGGCGCCCATTCCTTCCGCAAGCCCTGGAGGTGCAACCTCTGTGGGCACCAGTGCAAGCACAGGTACGACTTCGCCAGCCACTTGCTGGCGCATCCGCACATCTGACGGCGCGGTACGGTCGACCCCTGGGCTCCGGCGGTTTAGGACGTGCGCGACGGGCGAGGGCCTCTAAAGTTTGGACTTGGGCCTCCTAGCCCATACCACATTCTCCTCGTAGTTGTCTGGGAGCCGCGTTTTTTTACGACGCGCAGCCTAAATTGGGACAGGGGCCCGGCGGTCGGCCGGCGATTTCCACCCAGCGGACGAAGATTGTGAGTGATGCTGACAAACATTTTGTGTACGTGGATCCTTCGGCATCACTTCTCGCTTCGTTTGGACTGAGGATTTTTCTCTTGCGAGCAACCAAGCATTTTGAGGCTCGATTTGGGTCGTTCTTGGCGACACTGTTGCATTGTTCCGAAAGTGGCCTTACGAACTTTTACATGAGTTACATGCCTTATTTTAAATGTATCGTTCCTGTCCTTAAAACAGAGGCATAAATACTGTTTTTGAGTGTTGTTGTTTTCCTGAGAGAATGAAAGTCTCTCGGTCCTGCCTCTTTGCATGTTGCGACGTTTCTGGGACGGCGTGCGATCCTTGCGAGCCTTTTTAGGGCCAACTCCGGGTTTTCTCTTGATGGCGTGAGAGATTGTCTACCACAAGAAAGTGCCTTCCCTTGTCCCGTTGTGATTTTTGTAGTTTTGGCGCTAGAAACGAATCTCACATGGGAGCGTCTCCAGCTCATGGCCACAGGTCTTCCCTCACCGCGGGACTCCCCGCCAACTCTACCATGCATCATATATACACAATCATGCACTTTATTAACTGCAGGAAAGATTAAGCCAGGTATTTTTAGAAATATGTATACACATAAACATATTCTATATATAACATCATGCCGCCCCTGTTCCTATGTAAGCATGCTCGTTGAACAAAGCCGTCTTTTTGCTCTGCAAGTGTTCCTCCTCTGTTTTGTTATGCGTGGTTATGGAAGCCGACTCTGGTCCTTGGCCTATACCGGTGCTTTGTTTGTATCAAGTCACAAGGGCCCCAAGCTCTGTGGCTTGGAGATGCAATACTACAAGCTATTTTTTCTTTTTTTTTTTTGCTCTCAGAGTGCACTCCCCTTCAAAAGGAGCCGTCTACAATTTAATGCTTTGTGTGCAATATGGTGTTTGGTTCTGTCTTTGTGTGTCTTGTCCTGCTGTACCGTTTTTTTTTGTTTGTTTTGTTTTGTTAATGTTGAAGCAAAACTGTACTTTTTGAGTTTGTACATGGTCCTCGGCGCATTTGTCGGACAGAGGAACAGAAGCAGTTGAGCTCCAAATGCGGCATTTTCCCGCATTGCAGTGGGGCACGGTTATTCTGTTACCTTCCCTACATTTGGCCGAGGCAGCTTTGTTTCGATGCCTTGTTTGTTTTAGTTGAAAAACAAAAACAGCTGAGCTGTTGGGGCACTAGCAAGCTCTATCTTAGAAGCATTTTGGGGAATGTATTGATTGCTTGCAACAAGATTGCGAGTCGAGCCTTATGTCAAGTGCTGTTACCAGGTTTCTGAAACCTGTATGTAACTGCGTTTTTTTTTACGACTACAGCGAATGTAACCGGTGCTACCTTTATATATATATATATATAAATTGTCTCCTTTGGTAACCTTTCACTTTGTTTTGTGTCTTTCCTCTCTCTTTCTATGTGTGCATGGCAACTCTGCAATTCAGCAGCGTGGTACAAATTTCAACCAAGTGTTTATTCGTGGAGCTGCAACAGGTGACAGAGTCCTAGCTATTGCACCTTTTGTTTTTACTGATGTTACATTTACATAACAGTTCTGTCCGTGTTCACATTAACATTTGGAAAGGACCCTTCTTTGAGCAGCGTTATAAATTGTCACCACCAGAAGCCAGGTGGAGAGACATAGACAAGTTTTATTTTAGGAATCCTAACTGCGTCGAAAAACCTTTGTGCGCATTCGAGACCAGTGGAAGTGATGTCAAAATGAGCTTGACTAGCATTTCAAAATTTGACATCGCGTCATTAATCATATGAAAATAATTTCATTTTTGGACACTGATGCGTCTGGGGGGTCGTGGCAAAAGAGGACGAGAAGCACCGTGATGCAGTCACCAGCCCCCTTCATTGCAGCCAATGGAAATGGCAAATGAAATGCCTACATCAGCTAAACACATAATTCATCATCATTTCTATACTAACATTAGCAAATTGTATTTCAGTTGAAGCAAGATTCGAATTGGTGACACCCCAGCTTCTGGATTTCTTAGACTTGGATATCGGTGCGTTGCGGTGTACTTGTTTTTGTGTTGTTCGACCCCACTACGCCATGGATGTTCAGATGCACCACGGTACTACCAGCTTTACGTTCGCTTATTTGTTCAACCTGGCTGTCGTGTGTATGGAAGCATTTCTTCTCTTTTCAGTCTTTTCGTTCTTGTATTGGCTCCATGTGACCTGTTGACTGCATGGACCATTATCTCAACAGTTAAGGCTGGCCCACTCATCTGTGTTTGAGTGCGACTGCGTTTCAATCACTTGTGACTACTAATGACAAGAGGACACAGTGGCACCGTCTATCAGGTTTGCAGTGTTTGCGAGATCAAATTTACACACTGTGTGAGCAATGGTCGCTTCAAAACAAAATTATTTTGAGCACATGGTGAAGGAATGACGTATGAAAAGTTTTAAAGATATGTATGCAGATTGGAGATGTTCCAGGGTACCCAATTGATGCCGCCAGTGTTCGCAAGCATTTGCGACGTGAGCTGTTGCAACTTAAGGGAACGAGGCGCTTTTCGCCTAAAAACTGCATACTGCACGGCTTGTTGAGTTTTATTTTGAAATTGTCAGAGATCCATGCCACAAAGTTGAATTTCTTCTTGTGTAAGCAACAGACTTTCAAGAGGGCAAAAAGATGGGCAAGCTATCCTCTTTGCATGCCAGAAATGGCGATTCCTCGATTGCTCTGCACTGGAAGTTTTGAAAAGGAGAGGGAAACTTCGACACTTTCTCGAGACACTTTTTGTTAACACATTTTTTTTGTTTCAATATGGGGTATATGAACTCTGGCACATCTTTTTTTACAGGAATAGCTGTTATGGGCTCTTTCCCTACTCAAAATGATGTAGGGCCTCCCACGTCGATGTCGACGCATGACGTCGCGGCATAGTTTTATAGTTGTAGGCGATGGCGTCGCTCTCCGAGCAGACATTGGCGACGGTTCCTGCACCTATGGAGCTAGATACGTAAGGGCACATTATTATTTGACGTGTCGCAGCTATCGCTGTGACTACAGTGGACTCGCGCAGGACTGCTGTTTTTTAATTCTACTTTTAGTGACATCATTCCTGCATAATTGTGTGATTTATTTTTAGCGTCTTCTAAAATGGGCGAAGCTCGTTTTTACGTTGATAGTATATGGTGTCGGGGAGATAATTTGTAGTTGGCATTCATTTATTTACAACAATGCACGTTCCCACGTGTAATTCACACGGTGACGTCCAAGACGGGACGCTAATAATTCATCTTGCACGAAACTTGCTTTTCTATTCCTGCATGCCCTTATGTAAATGCCTGATCGGGCTTGGTGGAAGCGGTGCAATGACAAAACAGTGCATCCGATTTTCTCATGGTGCCTTGAGCAACTTTTCTAAATGTACAGAAAGAATTCGGACATCCTTCTTGCCAGCATATGATCAATGTTTGCTTCTTATGAGCTTGTACAAGCAGCCATTTTCCACCATATTCTCTGTCATGGATACTGGACATTTCATTGAACGCTGTTTCATCGAATAAGTGGACCTTTAATTTAATATCGTTTCATGAAATTGCTTGATGCCGTTTCATCATATTTCGCTTTCCTGAATTTTTGAGCATTACAGTGCTTTTTAGATGTTTTACTCTTGCTTCTGAGTTGTTTTCCTGCAGCTGTCAAATCACCAGAAATAGGGTTCCTACCCTGGTCACTTTTTGACCAAACTTTTGGTTACTGAGTTGGAGAACCTGACAAGACTTGAGTGGGCATGCGACATACTGTTTTCAGGTCAAATAAGCGGCTGTTCTCCACCACACACCTTGTTCCTTTTTCACCCCCCCCCCCCCCCCCCCCCATTTCTTCACGCATGAAAGGTACTTCCTAAAAACTATTCACTGCACCTTTTTATTTTCTATTTTACTGTTTGCTATTTATTGTATACTGCAGACTAAATGAATGGTACAGGTAGGAAGGGCAGACAGTAAATTAGAAAATTTCATACAAATTCATAGAACATGCAATTGTTTTTATTTTATGCTAAGAGAATAGCTTCCTTTCTAAGAACATAGGATGAAAAGCTGGCTGACCCATGGTTCTGCCAATTGCAAAAAATGAACAAAGAGGGGAGATGTTTCATGCGACATGGAGGCGGGTCATTGCTTCAAGGAAGGCTTTGTGCTTGATACAGAATACGTCTGTCCAAGGACCAGGATACAGCCTAGAAGGGCATACCATGGAGGCTAACTCAGAAAACACAGGAGTAAAATAGGAGAAGGAAACAGAAAGCAATCCTGGCATCAGAGGGTGGACAACTATATGCATTTCCACCTCAACATAAAAGAAAGTTTTTGGGCATTGTTCATACGCCGTGCGAAGTAGTTTCAGGATTTGATTGTCGGAGGAAGAAGCGATGCTTTTGGCGTTTGAAGCATGTATGTCTTAATAAGGTAGCATATATCTAATCTAAAATGCACCTACATATATCTTAATTATCTATATAAAGAGGAAACTTAGTAATGCCATGCGAGGATCCGGACTTTTCTTATTATGGTTCTTGAGGTGAAAACAAGTATAGCTATTTTCACCGAAAATGCAGCCAGTGGGTCTGACTCGGTATAGAAATTGATAATTATGAAATATTTCATTTTTTGATGGAGCTTGGGAGCATAAGCTCGTGATATTGGATGTCTTGGTCTTTTGATGTCAAAATGCAGTGTGCTGTAATATAGCCTCCTCTATACTCACAAAGTCTGGCAGTTCGATGACGGAGCCATAGAGTGCCCGGTCGCAGATTTGGAGCGCGAGGATCTGGTTACAAAGAGCATTTCTTGAGGAGCCTGTAGTCAGCGCACAGCTTTCGCAGCAGCGAGGACCCGAAACGGGGTTTTCAAACCCGATGAGTAAAGAAGCGGTAGCCTGAGCAGAGTGAACTAGAAACGACTGAATGGGACGAGGTACAGGCTCCGCTCATGCTTTCAGTTGCACATCAAAATGTGAAAAGCTATTAGGTAGAACCAAGCCACTTTGATCGCAGCGCCACCTTCGTTGCGATTGAAGCGAGCAACAACACAGGTCAAGGTCATATGGGCAATATAGCCGCTTGGGGGCTATATTCTATTTTTTATGATTTTAATGTCGGAGGTAACCTCAAAACACGTCACGGCGACGCCACAACGTTGCGCGACGCTAAGATGCTGTCATAAGGCCATTGTGACATCGTGTCGCGTTGAGGACGACGCTGTTTCGGGACATCAAGTCGCCTTTGTAACGTGATCGTGACATCGCATCGTGTTGAGGATGACGCCATTACGCGACATCGTTGATGCCGACGCTGACGTCGACGCCTCATGCAACGTCAAGCATCTCTATGATGTCACGTTAACGTCATCCTCACGTCGTCAACGTCACAACGACATCACCACGAAGTCTTAATGTCGTGTAACATCGTCGTCGTCGATGATGATGTTGACGTCGTAAAGTTGTTGGGATGTCGTCGTGACGTCGTGTTGCGTCATGTCGATAACAATGTCGACGACGTGACATTAAGCGTCTTTATGACGTCGCATTGACAAGGACGCCATCATCTTGACGTCGTTGCCAACGTCAACGTTGACATTGACGTCATTGTCAACGCAATATGACGTCAAAACGCAGTCTTGATGTCATGTAATACGCATTGTCAACTTTAATGATGACGTTGAAGTCAAGGCGGCATCGTGATGTCGCATGGCATTGTGACCACAAGTCGGGTTGCGGTGACGTTATGTATTGAGATGACGCCTGACATCTAGGCTATACAAAAAATATAGCCAGGCGTTCTATTGATTTTATGACCTTGACCAGTGTGTCGGTCGAGCTTGGCGTTGGAACACCACGCATTTTTCATAAAAAATGGCTAATCCGAACACTTTCGCTCGTAGCGCCTGAGAGGGTGTTACAAGCAAAGTGGCTTGGATTAGCCGTTTTTTTCCTTGTTCCAAGGTGCAAAAATAGCACTCTGGTTGCCCCACTCGTCCTTTCTAGTCAGGGGCGGATCCAGAACTTCGTTTTGGGGGGAGGGGGGCGGAAAATTTTTAAGGATACTATTTTCCCATTCTTGTGCAAGGGGGGTCCACCCATGTCAAATTGCCCTCTGAGAAGGGGGAAGGAGGGGGGTCGACTTTGTTTGGGGGGGGCAGGATGGCCGCCCCTGTCGCCCCTGTCGCCCCCCCCCCCCCCTGGATCCGCCCCTGTTTCTAGTGCACTCTAGCCTGAGAAACATGAGAAGCACGAGCGAACATTCCATCGCTTGGGACAAGTGTGTTGTGGCGTCTCGCCACAGCGGGGCGCCCGTTACATGCCTCTTGTCTGCCGCTCTACCTTTTCAATTTTGGCGGCCGCGTCTCGTGGTTATC